CATTTTGTTCTCGATCAATTAAAGTGTTTTGCAATGTGCTCTTAACAAAAATTCTATAAGCAATTACAAATTTGAATATTGGTCACAACAACAAAATACAGTTACTAGTTTTACATTGATAGAAGAGTATTTTCGTTCATCCACAGATTATTCTATTGTGTAGAAATACAGTTAGGTATAGCAATTTGCATTGATACATTACTTTCATTTTACTTTTGTTGCTTTCCTTCGATCCAAGAATACGTGCTTATCGCAAAATAGAAATCAACCAAAATCAAACTGGTAAAAATAAAAAAATACAGATAATAGTTTTACATTAATAGAAAAATAATTAGGTTTAGACAACCTTACTTGTCTCTGATGCGAACATTTTTCGTGTGTGGTTTTCTCACGTGATCCGTAGCGTCTTCAATGCTTCAAGTCCAGAACAGCGGTATCACCTGTATATTTAGAACAAGAAATAATAAAATAATCAAATGTATTTAATTTAAACACAACATACCTTTACATGTTTGCGGGGTTTTAAGCCATAGTTATACCGTAATTTCCGTCTTGAAGATACATCATAACACTATGGCACAAGCACGGTTTTTATATTTTGACTCATATTTATTTTTCGCATCGATTAATATGGATTTTTAACATTCTCAAGTTTTTGAAAAACACGTCATGCACGTAACCAGAGATAAACATAGATAAAGACAAGCAGCAGTTGTCTCCTGCTCCAATTTCAATCATGGAAAAGTGCTAAATTGTCGCACCCCGGATATTACATCACTGATAAACCGATATTGACAAAACCTAAATTTTGTCTTGCTTAGAAAGATAGTATTCTAGTAACTAATAAATCTACAATCATATAGGTAATTTAAAAAATCAAGATTTGTGTAATAGCACATAATAATTTGTTTATGCCAATAACCAATAAATTATAAGCTTTGCAGCTTTTCAGAAATTCTGATAGCTTTGGCGCTACCGCCAAGCAGCGCTGCGTGAAAGATGATTCTCATTGGTCCGCTCTCATTGTCACTCTCGAATGTCACGTTATAGCCGGACGTAATCCGTGTACACACTAAGCGGGTAATTTGAATTTGTTATATGCATTTTAATTGTTTTAATTTTATAGGATGGGAACTGTTAGCTCCGGATAAATTTATTTGAGTAATATAGAAAT